TAGGAAGATTTGTCTGGCTTTGATTTTTTTTTTTAACCCCTTGCTTATAAATGTCACTTGCAGTGAGGCAGACAATATATGTTTTTATGTGATGCTTTCTGCCTACTTGGAAATATAAACCAATGCAGGGCAAAAATAGTATAAAGTAAAGAATCATTGAGTTTTAAGATTTTTTGTCATCTAAGAATGAGATTTGACAATGTTGCTTTTTTTTTTTTAATTTATTTATGCATACAAGGACTGGGGTGTAGGCCAGAGGTGGGGGGTTGGGGAGAGGATTCTCCAGACACAGAGTGGGGAGCCAAACAGGCAGATCTTTTTTTTTTTTTTTTTAAAGCTTTTTTTTTTTATTTTTTTTTTATTTTTTTTATAGAGGCATGTTTTTATTTATTTATTTATTTATTTGTTCGTTTGTTTCGTTTATACATGCACTGGGTACAGTCAGAAGCGCGGGAGGGTGAGAGAATTCACCAGAGCCAGAGCAGGGAGCAGAGCAGGCAGAAGGACAGAAGTACACTGCTGAGGGGAGCAGCGGGCGGCAGGAGAGGTCTGCGCACCATGTGGGACCCTCCTCTGGTGGCCGGGGAGCAGCCGGGAATCGAACCGGTGCTGCAGAGGCTGCGGGCAGCTTCGCAACCCAGCGCTCAACCGCTGCGCCACCGGGGAGGCCCCAAACAGGCAGATCTACTGAAACACACTGCTGAGGGGAGCAGCGGGGAGACAGGAGAGGTTTGATGCGCCCTGTGGGTTAGTTCCCTGACCAGGGTTCGAACTCATGCATTACCAGGGAGACCCCAGTGTTGCTCTTTGAATGAAAATGATTAACTCAGTGAATTAGTGGCAGCTGTTAGTTTCATCACTACCTAAGACAATGCCTAATTGTTAATAATAGTGTAATACTGACAGAGTTAGTCAGTGACATTAATGGTTTTTTGTAATAGTATGCAGTTTAGGGCTTGGAAGATGGGATTTTAGATTTCTGTAAATAAATTTGCAGCTAGGAGGAGGCAGATTCCTATCATCAACAGGTCCTTATAGATTTCTACCTAAACAAGTAACACTAGAAACTTGGATCTTCTCCTGTAACCAAGAGTTGGTTCCTCTCTGAATTATTTACAGAAAAATTAGGATCCTGTGACAGAATTTGCATTTCAAAGGAAGAGGAAAGTTGAGGGCATTCTTCTTTACAGTGGGCGTTTCAGGATCAGTTTTGAAACTGTGGGACCATTACCATCTCTGCAGAGGTTTGGGAGAGTCTTTCCTCCTGTGGCCCAGGTGTAGAGCTGACAGTGCTGTGATGAGAGTGAGCCTGTCACTGACAAGCATTTACTGAATGCTAATTATTCAGATGGTTCTGTGCCAGGTGTCAGAGAGATAACATGTTTTATATTTTGAAAGGTTTCAATGCCTCCTGGGAGAGTAGGCATATCAATGCATTTTTAAAAAACTGAATTTAACCCAACATTTGAATCTGGGCGTGCCCCCGATTCCAGTGTATTTATGCACTGGAACATACTTATATATTTTTTAATTAAAAATAGCTTTCATTACAAGGCAAATTCATAATACTTGCACAGAAAAAAATTGAATACTGTCAAGTAAAAAGAAAATAATAAAAATGTCCATATTCCCCCATCTTATCACAGATGAAATGTCAGCATCCTGAGGTATTACTTTTTAGACTTTTTTTTTTTCTGTGTATGTGCACACTTTTATTTCTAACTGAAAGGGAATATACCCCATAATGCTTACTTCTGTCATTTTTAATGATGGAATAGCATCTCGTTGTCTGATTTTGCCACAATTTAACCAATCCTCAGTTTTTGTTCATTCCACAAATATACCACTGTATATTCCACTGTATACTTTCCCACCTGACTGAGAACTATCAGCTATCATATCATTGCTTGATATGATTCATAGTTTTTCACTCTTGTAAACAGTGTGGTAATAAATAACATCTCTGTACATCCTTACACGTGTCCATTGTTCATGTGAGGTGATCACTGAGCATATAACATGCTAGACAGGCAGCCTGCTGACTCTTCGCATGTATTAGCTCATTTAATCTTCATGTCCAAGAGATAATTTTCAAATGAAAGAACAGAAAATGGAGAAATGAAGTAATTTGCCTGAAGTCATATAACAAGCTAGAACTCAAGCTCAAATTGGTGTGGCCCTGGATACCACGCAGCTCTAGCAGTGTGGAAATGAAGTAACTGCATCAGAAAGTATAAACATTTCCAAAATGCTCAACTACTCATTTGCCAGTCAGAAGTTTTACCACTGTCTACCTTGCCAGCGCTGAGGTCAGCTACTCCTGCCTCTTCAAAATAAATTTAAAAATCATTCCTAAGTGTGGAGAAGGTTGGTTTAAAAAGTTTTCTTCTTGGAAAGAAAATATTCAACTTCACCTAGCTCTAGCCATCCTCTCCTGTATAAGAGAGATGTGAGGTTGATAGTACAGAGGATTCAGCTCATTAAAGTCTTAGCACGGGATTATCCCTCCCAGCGCAGCACCTCCGCCCTCCGAAGGCCTGGCTGCACTTCCTTTTACTTGGTGGCTCCTGCCCACTAGCAAGAAAATATTAGAAGGCATACCAAGGGCAACAACACAATTTGAAGAGACAGAGCAAATGTCAGGCCCAGGCATGGCAGGGAGGTTGGAGACTCACTGGGAAATTGGAACAACTGTGACTGCCGCGGAGGCTCTGCCGAAGAGGGCTGAGTATGCAAGAAGACGTGGGTAATAAAAAATAAGTTTTCTTCAACGCAAATGCAGAAAAAGAAGAAGCAAATAAACTGGGGTGGGGGGAGGGAGATCAATAACTGAGTGGGACAGAAATAGAGACACGCAGTAGGTGCCAGTCTGGTTCCTGAGCAGCTGCTCTTCCAGATTTCAGGCCCTTATAAGGCGCTGATCTCGGCAGCCCAGTGCCCAGTCTCTCCCCTCTGGGACACTTTCTTTTGCTTAAGGTAGTTTGAATGGGCTTGTGCTTCTTGCAGCCAGAATGTCGATTTTAGGAAAATACTGTTTTCTTACAAGTTTATAGGATGTGCCTATTTGTATAGTGTGTAAGACCCACCATATTGTACTTGCGTGTTTGCTTCAGAATTTGTTGGTTAAACAATAATTAACTTGGAAGGAACAGCTCAAAAATGCTAACTCTGTGTAGTGGCTCAAGAGTGACTCATTTGCTTCTCTATTTCCTGTATTATCTACATGCCTATGTGTTTATGATCAGAAAAAAATACTAAAATGTTCTGCGAGTTCTAAAAAAGCCATCCGTGTGATGCTCCTGGGATTATTAAGCAGCAAGTAGCCGGTTTGCTCCCCTCAGTGCAGGCCCACGACCTGCCCCGTGTCGCCCTCCCCAGCTCACTGACCGCCTTCTCGCAGATGTCATTAGAAACCGGGGCTGAATGGGGCCTGGTATTTATAAATCGCTTTCCGGGCCTCTGTGGTCTTCTGGAAGGCAGTGTAGCGTAGCAATTAAGGCACAAACGCCAGTGCCAGGTGACTTTTTTAAAGTCCCAGCTTTGCGGGGTGTCCACTTATATGACCTTAGGCAAATTGTTTTAACTTTTTTGTGCCTCCATCTTCTCAACCATAAAACGGAGGCAGTAATAACTGCACATGGCTGTTGTAACAGCTGGGTTATGTACTACAGTGAAAGGCTTAGAAGAGAATCTGCCACAGACAAGCACTCAATAAATGTTGCTTTTTGCTGCTGCAATTGTAGTTGCTATTAGACTCAGGGAAAGCAAGTGAAAGCAGACGTTGGTGACTCATCATACCTCTTCACCCTGCATCACTTCACTTGGGAACCCCTCCTTTCTCATCATCCAAGAGCGGGACTAGACTGTCATCCCAGGTGGGACTCTCCGGGCAATGATAAAAGTTACTATAAAGGCAGTGCCAGCGCAGAGACCTCTGTGGTTCTGAAAAAACTGAGTGGTCAGTTTCCATCTGTGCTCACTTAGAAGTTCCCCTGTGAGGCCACCAGCGTGAGTTCCCCTATAACGAATGAGCTTGCGCAGACTTCGGCCCCCGGTTGCTGCAGCCAGGGTCTGAGGCTGGTTTCGTGGGTGTGGGTGTGGGTGCGCACGCCGGTGGCCACTATTGCTGTGGCCGCTCTGACAGATTGGCGTGTCTTGCGTGTCACCACATCATATCAGATGGTGACCGCCTCGCAGACCTCTTTGCAACTGATACTGCAGGCAGCTCGGTCCCCAGGAGCCCAGGACCTGTCTCTGGCGCCATGGTCTGGCCCGTCATCTCTCCCCCACGATACCCCGGTGCATGCGCGACACTGGAAACACGAGGAATCCTGCTGGTGGCTTCTTTGGCCAGGTCTTCCCAGCGGGAGAGGAAAAGGGACCGAGGACCCTGCTTGCTAGGTCTTGCTTTGCTTTGCTTTTTGTTTTTCCCTGAGTGAAGTGCCCAGCGCTCAGCTGGGAGCTGGGAAGAGTCGCCACGTTTTCAGCTGCAGTTTCGTGGTTTGGAAGCGAGTGTCTTAGGCGGGAGCAACCTCAATGGCATTGGGTATAATCAAGGATTTATTTTATATCTTAATTCAGTGTCTCCCAAGGTCTGTTCTATGGATAATTTGTTCGGGGAGATAGTGATAGATTTTCCCTTTAAAAGGGATTCCTTAGCCACTCACTTTGGGAAACACTTCATCCTTCTCTTGGCAGGTCACAGTTTACATTAGCTTGGTAAAGGTTCTGAGAACCTCCGGAGTAAAGACCCCCATTCAGCTTGTTTTTTCCTTTATTGTAATATATGTGAATGTGTAAAAAGAGTATTGTAACATGTAAGTCAGAAAGTCCAAGAACCTAACGAACGCCCCTGAAGCTTTTCCCCGACTCCACACCTGGACGGCCCGGGCGCCGCCTGTACCGCATCCCCGCTGCTGCCCCGCAGGACGCCCCTCCATGGTGTGTTTCGTCCCCTTGCTTCAGTGGGGGGGGGATCGCCCCTTTATTACGTATCTATGAATTTCTGACGACTGTGTTATTTTGCTTATTTTTGAGCTTTATTTAACAGTGGCGTCAGGCTACACTCAGCGCTGCCTCTCGGCGCCCGGCGGCTCCTCGGGGCTTTGTTCTCTGTCAATGCCGCGCGCCGTTCGCGTCCCCACGCCCCGCCTGTGGACACGCGTGTGTGTCATCTTCTTTTCTTTGGTTTGCTGTTACTGTTGCCTCTACGGAGGAGCATCAGGCGGACACGAAAGCCCAGGATTGTTACAGAATGTTCCGTCCACCTGTTTGGGCACGTTGGGAGCTCGCAGGAAGGTGCGTGTGGACCAGCTGCTTCAGGCAAGGGTCTGTTCAAAGCAGGAGGAGCTGAAATTCAGAGAAAATAAGATGCCCCTGTCTTTGAAGATCCTATGGTCCAGCGATCGAGTCAAACAAATCTGTGAATCACAAAGTGTGGAGGAACAGTAGTAAGCGTAGGGAAGGCCGCGGGGCTGAGGAGAGCTCCTGGAGGAGCGGCCCAGGAGTTGGGCTTTAGGAGAGGCATCGTTCCTTGGCTACGTGCCAGGCGCGGGCACACTTCTGAATGACACGCGCAAAAGCAAAAAGGTGTGGGACCAAAGCGGCTCCCAGAGCAGTGAGCTGAGGGCACAGAACGTTTTTCGTGGGGTTTTTTTTTTAGCTTTTAGAAGTTCCCTCCTCTCCTCTCTCCTCTCTCCCACTCGCCTGCCCAGCGCCAACAGCTAAGTGCTCAGGGGTAACCGGAAGCTTGTTAAGGCAGATCTTTTTTCTTATTATCTTCCTTCAAGTGTTTTTTTCCATTACATTCACTTTTTTCATTACAACCCTTTTCATTACACCCCATTTTTTCATTACACCCCTTTTCAGATTTGATTTTAGATTCCCTTAGTGTCTTTGGTATAACAAGAAACTTGGAAGCAACTTCTATTTGTGGAGTATCAAAGAGAAGGGGGGGTTGGTTGTACATGTAACCTGCTTGGAGCACTGTTGTTGAATTCAGTTACTTTAGTAATGACCATGTGAAATGCTGTGAGGGGTGGCTTCTAGCCCTTACCAAAGACTTAAAAGTAAAGACACTCATTTTGCAGCGTGTGGCATAAGATTTTTGAATTTGACTTTTTAAAATAAGGGCTTTTTTCTGCCCACCTTCCTTCTCTCCAGAGTCAGAGAGGTCTGTCCTTAGACAGCGCCAGGCCAGCAAGTGGGGGTGTGGGCCCGCTGAGCTGGCGCCGGCACTCTGTCTGGGCATCTTGTGTTGAGGCTGAGACGTGATCTCTCCCGTCTCTGGCCAGAGCCCCTTCAGGTAGGAATCATGACAGGTGCCCCTCGTCCACCTCCCAGGGCCACTCCGTAGTGGATGCCTGGGAAAGAATTTGTTCAACCGTTCTGGCCTGAACCGAGTCGGACTACAGCGCCACAGGAGGAGGGTTTTAATTTGCTTTTTAAGAGAACTGATTATAAGGCCTCCCTGGTGGCACAGGGGTTAGAGTCTCAGTGCTATCAAGCTATTGCCACTGCAACATGAGTTTGATCCCCAGCCAGGGAGCTACCCACACGGCACAGCAGACCTCTCCTGTCTCCCCACTGCTCCCCTCAGCAGTATATTTTGGTAGATCTGCCTCCCTGCTCCCCACCCTTTCTCTGGTGAGTCCTCTCATCCCTACCCCCACACCTCTGACTATACCCCAGTTCTTATATGCATAAATAAATCTTTAAAAAAGAGAGAGAGAGAGAAACTGATTTTAAAACAGCTCTAGAAAAGTCATTGTTGTTGTTTTTTATGGTCTAAATTTGGGGGACAGATACCAATATGTTCATCGCCCATAATTTGAAAAGCATTCTGCAGTGACTCACCAGAGTCCCCAAATAGATACTTTTTAAAAGTCACAATGGCCCCAGGAAACGAAATTAGGCTTGGCAAATATAAATAGTAAGTGTTTTCTCTTTGCAGTCAAGAATGTGGAGTCCTGATACCCAGAGGAGGATCTTGAAGCATAATTTCAGGAAAGTCACTCCTTCCTTTGCACATGCAGCAGGATCTAGAGCCAACCAAAGGTCGCCTGATAAATTGCTATTGGGTTTCTCAGCACCGTTAATTACTGCTTAACCAGTTCTTACCAAAAGTCACTAATCAAAGACATCTTGTGTAATCTTTCAAACAAAACGCAACGCTACCTCATTTCCTGACACTTTTTTCTGACCTCCAACTGTCTTTACTTTCTGAAGAGGAATAATAGCATCTGTTTCATAGGTAGATACACACACACACACACACACACAGAGCTTCAGGCAGTTCTCAGAACAAAATACAAACATCATTACTAGGCCACATTTATGAAGGGCCTTGAATTTTAATCTACATTATTTTCTAAGCAAAACGAATATTTTAAAGCCGGGAGAAGTCTTATAAAGGGGAGAGTAAGCAGTGGAATCTACTCTGTATTTTAGAAAAGTAACGCTGGTGTCACTTTCGGGTCTGCCTTGGATGAGGGAGACGTTAGGGCCACGAGCAGCTACAGGACAATAGAAGACTGGTGCTTGAGTGACGTGGTTCTGGGCTCCTGGCTAGACATCTCAAACCTGAAACACCAGCCTTAACAGCTTTTGCAAGTTTATTGATAAAAAAAAAACATAGCGAAACCTGGGGCGGAACACCAAGGGGCTTTCCCTCCAGTCAGGAGACGCCCGTGCTGGACCCGCGCCTCAGGCCAGTGCTGCCTGTTACCTCTTCGTCGGGTCACTTGTCAGGAGCAAGATCGTCCATGTTGGGAGATGCTTTTTTTTGCTTTTGAGTAACCTCAAATCTACTGATCAGTTTCCTAGAGGAAGTTCTAGCTTCTGGACTGCACAGCCGGGGCAAGGAGAACGCTCAGATAACGGCGAGGCCGGCGAGCCGAAGGTGAAATGGTGCCGAGCGAGGATGGCGCGGCTGCCCGCCCGCCCGGGGCCCCCCTGCGCGGAGGTGATGGAGAAGAGCGCGGGCTTCCTGCCCGTGGCGACCCGTCTCCAGGTAGCCCTGACTCCTGAACTCTCGGCACAGACACCAAGACTCCCGGTGAGGAGCTGGGAGTAAGTCTAGGCCCTTCCCGAACCCCTTTCTCGTGGTGTCTTTAGCCGGTGAGGAGATGTGTTGCTTGTGTGTTTGACAGCACAGTCACTCCAGCTCCTGATGGATGTTGTTTGGCTCTTACTCGAGAAGGGGGTTCTCGGAGCTTAGGGGGTGGAGCAGAAAAGCCACCGTCCGAAGCTCTGGCCTCCTCTCTTCTCTGGACCCGTTACTTTTCATTAACCACATTCCCGCAAGCTCACTTCTGAAAACTCCTCGTGTTCCTGTAGAGAGCCAGCCACAAATTGTTGCGCCCCCACACTGCAGGGCTCTGCGGCGCTGGGCAACCATGTATGACTACAATAAAACTTTGTGAAAAGATACAGATGATTTGTTTTTGGTTCTTCGGGATTAATAACCATTTATGGGAATTCACGAGAGCAGACGGGTGCGCCTTTATACCAAACATCGAGAGGGCCTGGCCGCTCCCCAAAGGACGTTTCAAGTGTGTCAAGGCAAATAGTAAATTATTATTATTTTTTTTTTTTTTTTAGAGGCATGTTTTATTTATTTATTTATTTATTTATTTATTTATTCATTTGTTTGTTTTGTTTATGCATGCACTGGGTACAGTCAGAAGCGCGGGAGGGTGAGAGAATTCACCAGAGCCAGAGCGGGGAGCAGAGCAGGCAGAAGGACCGAAGTACACTGCTGAGGGGAGCAGCGGGCGGCAGGAGAGGTCTGCGCGCCATGTGGGACCCTCCTCCGGTGGCTGGGGAGCAGCCGGGGATCGAACCGGCGCTGCAGAGGCTGCTGGCAGCTTCGCAACCCAGCGCTCAACCGCTGCGCCACCGGGGAGGCCCCAAATAGTAAATTCTGATGTCACTTTCTCTTCTCTTGAAAGCACTGGAAAGTCATGACATTGTTAAAGCCCTGATGTCATTCTCAAAACACAGCCAACGGCACAGCACAGTCTCCCCCAGTTCTCTGCAAGTCCTTTTATATAGTTTTTGCCTCTTTCATGTTGATGAAAAGTCTGTCAGGCTCAAATCTAGGTCACGTTTAGTGACTTTAGGAATGTCCTTCAGTCTCTGTGGCTCAGTTTACTCATCTATACAACGAGTGTCCTCAAGTCCCTTCCTCCAGGGTGTGAGGATTAGCGAGGTAATAGGCGCAGAGCGCTCAGGACACTGGCACCCTGCGGACACTGGCACCCTGCGACATGGATACAATCTGACTAATTATGGTAAACAATTCGTTTCCTGATTCCTGTCTCTAAAGTTGAGGATACAAAACCACTACACAAGATGATTGGATTCCTGTCAGCCCCCATGTAGGGGGTTAGCAGTTCAAGAAATAAAGGGAGAAGCTGAGAGGTCATTCTGGCCAGCCCCCTGCCCAGGCCTCTCTTCGGTTCTTTCCCTCCCCTGTCCTCACATGAGCCCCAAAGCTTTCGTCCCGCCGATTACGAAATCTAAAATCTTGTTTTGCTTTTGCAAGTCCCTTTGGAACTTTTTTTTAAGTTGCTTTTGTGTAAAAAGTGAGGCTGCCTTCACTTAGGGAGGCAGTATTTTAAATGCAGCCGTTGACAAGTTATAGAGTCTTCAAAGGACGAGCAACCCCTCCTCCCGGAAAGATCGCCCCCACGTCCCTTCTTGACAAGCTGCCCCTTTGGAGTAAGACACAGAGGAGCAGAGACCTTCCGCGTCATTCTCCCTCACCCGTCCCATCGCACTGCTCGGCTGCCACCCAGCCCGAGCCAGGAACCCCCCCCCACCACCAGCGTGTCTGGGGCCAGAAGTTGGTTTTGCCTTATTAGGGATCAAAGACCCGTATCTTTATTTAAGATTTACAGAGCTGATGCCATTATTAGTTAAGGTCTCCGAGGCTTTTACTGACCTGTCCCGCATGGGTGGAAGTGGGCTAGTCAAAACCTCCGTGTCCCGATTATAAACACCACGTCACTTGGTGTCAGCGAGACCGCTGTTTGGGTCACAGCGTCTCCCAGCAAGCTCCTGAGCAGCGACTCGCAAGTCTTGTCTCTGAGAGCAAACGTCTTCCTCCCTTAAGTGAAGTTACTCTTAAAATATTCAGCTGAAGAATGAAGCTCCTGGCAGTTGTGCCTTCCTGGTGACCACGCAGTCAGGGCGGTTCCCCCTTCTTGAGTCCCTCGTCTCCTGCTCTCGCCTCTCCAGAAGAAACTGGCTTGAGTTACTTTTGTCGTTTGTGTGGTGGTATCACACTCAGAAGCTAGAGAAATGTGTGAAGGACCCATCAGTTCTTCCTGTGAGATTTCTCCTGGGAGAACTGGCCTTTGGAAACAGTTCCCAGGTAGATCCCTAATCAGGTATGGGGGGTGGGCAGCAGGGGAAGGCCAGAGTGGGGTGAGATACAGGAGGAGGAGTAACAGCCCAGAGGGAGGCAGGGGCAGGGAGAGAGCGTGGAGCAGCAAAGGAGAAAGAGAACCAAGATTTATGTAACGTCTTGAGCAGCAGACAGGCAGGGAAGGTTCTACTGCCCACATGCATCTGCTCTGGAATCTGAAAATTGCTCTGGAGGATTTGGAGTTTTTAGCAGTCCCTCGCCTGGCGTTCCACGGGCTCCAGCTCCTGCCTGATGCAGCCAAGGCCCCTCACCCGGCGTGCGGGAGCTGCTTGCATGTTGACTAAAACCAGGGGGAAGATGGGCAGGGTGTGAATTACTTGATCTCCCTAAACCAGCAGCTGCTTGAACTATAAACCCCAAGGCCCCATCTACCCTCCTGGCCAGCAAGCCCCACCGGTTGACCAGGGTGTCGCGCCTCCCCGCTGATGGCGGGGGCCTGGATTTTCTCATTCTTCTAAAATCACTTTTTAACAGGGTGGGAAACAGAGATGGCGGGTGGGAAGGGAAGGGTGACTTGGGGAGGGTGTGTGTGTGTGTGTGTGTGTGTGTGTATGTGAAACCAGAGAGCAGTCAGACTGGGGGGCAGGCGGTTGACTTGTTCCCCAGGCCCTGTGTCCTCATTTTCCAAGGGGAAATAACATATTCTCCGTACTTCACAAGGTAGCGCCGAGGAGTCCAAGAAATGAAATTATATATAGGAGCGTTTGCAAAGAACGGATGTCTGTATCCATCTAAAAAGAGGAATTCGTATAGTCAGTGAAAAATGGTGAAGAGGAATCTGACCGGCTGCGAGAGTCGGGGGAGAGGAGAAGAGAGCGGAGCCCCCTCCTTCATAGGACCCGCAGAAAAAGCCAAGCCCACGCACTCCTCAAACCCCAAATTTAGCCAACACGGTCCTCTCCCTGGACACATCTCCACCCACCCCCCCCAGCTCCCCGCCTTCAATCGGCGTGTGTTGAGGGGCCACCACTCAGGCAGTGTCCCGCAGTCACTACTCAGTCATGAGCCCTACAGGGCGGCTTTTATCTGTCTGAGGACCCCCCCCAGGCCGCGCACGGATCTCCCCAACTTCCTTGCTGACGAACTTGAGGCTCCTCCCTCACGGTCTCACGTGGGGGCAGGGGGAGGCCGAGGCCTAAAGAAATTAGTAGCTTGACCTAAGGCACAGGTGGCGATGCAGCCGGCACCAAACCGGGGCTCCTGACTCCCCTGTTCCCATTAAATATGGGGGGTGGGGAAGAAGCGGCTGCTGAGACGCCGCCTGCCCTGCCCGCTCTGCAGTGGACCCGGGGGCGGCGGGTCAGCGCGGGGCGCCCCAGTCGGGGCATCCTGGGGTGCTGCGCCCTCCGCCGTTCTCGGGGAGGGGTGGGGCCCGCAGGTGCGGATCTCCCGTGTCAGCGCAGCGGGGCGAGACACCCCGGCAGCCGCGAGCCCAGGCCGCACCTGGAGCTGTATTTAAAGCACTGGGGCGCGGGGGGTCGGGGTGCTGGGGGGCGGTAGACAGCGACCCCCCGCCGCGCAGAGCCGCCGCGCCCCGACCATTCTGCCCCCCTCGCCCCGCAAGTGGCGACCCAATGTCCACCTCGCCCTCGGGGTCGCTCTCCCGGGGCGCCCATAAGGCCTGAGGCTCCGCGAACTGCCAGAGCGGCGCGTCGGCGGCCCCTTCTCGGCCCCCGCGACCCCCCGCACCCCGATGCCCGCGGGGGCAGAAAACTTTTCCCGGCGCTTGACCCTCCCAGCCGCCACCGCCCGCGCCGGGCACCGGGTTCCAGAGGCTTCCAGAGGCTTCCGAGGCTCCAGCGCCGCGGCCTCCCGCCCGCGCGCCCGTCCGCGCTCGGGCGCCGCCGCTGTGGGTTCGCGCCCCGCGCCCGCCGCGGTCGGGGCCCCGCTCGGCTCCGGCTCCACCCGCGCGGCGAGGGGCCGGGGTCCCCAGGGCCGGGCGCGGGCCCCGGCGGGGCGCGGGGCGTCCGCTCGCCCCTCCGCGAGCCAGAAACAAAGGCGGGGGGCGGGGGGCGGCGCCGGCTCGCGATTCGCCCTTTATTCCGAACCCGCGACGTCAGCGCCGCCGATGGGCCGCGGCCGGGCCGGGCCGCCCACTGCGCGGGCCGGGGGGGCGGCGGCCGGGGGCGCGGCGGGCGGCCGGGCGGGCGGCCGGGGCGCGGGCCGCGCGGGCCGGCATGGAGGGCGCCGGGGGCGGGGGGCGGGCGCGCGGGCGGGCGGCGCGAGGGGGGCCGGCCCTGCTGTAACCGGAGCTACAAAGGAGGGCGAGTCCGCGCGGGAGGGCGGAGCGCGCCGGGGGCCTCTGCCCGCCTCCCCCGCAGGCGCCCCTCCGAGCGCTGCGCCCCGCCGCGGGGCGCCGGCCCCTGCCGCGCGCCGGGAGGATGAAGAAGACCCACTCCGCCAAGAGGGTGAGCGGCCGCGGCCGGGCCGTCGGGGGGCGCGCGGCCGCGGGGGCCCGGCGGGGGCTTTGTGTGCGCGCCCGGCTCGGGGGTCCCCGCGGCTCGGCCGCCCCCGCCCGCCCGCCCCGACCGGCGCCGCCCGCGGGGGCCGGGACAATGCGAGGCGCAGTTGCAGCCGCCGGCCCCGGCGCGCGAGCGGGGGGCGCCGGGGGGACCCCGCGGGCAGCTCCGGGCCCGGCCGGCCCCGCCGCCCGCGCACTTCGGGCTGTTTGTGCGGGAGGCGCGGGCGCGGCGGGCGGGCGCTGCTCGGGGAGATGCCCGCAGAAGTGGGCACGGGGCGCCGGGCTCCCCGACTCCAGCCTCCGGGGGGCGGGCCCCCGAAAGCGGGGGAGCGGGCCCCGGGGACGCGCGCAGGCCGGACCCGACGGCGCCGGCCGCTCACCGCCCTCTCCGCGCCCCGGAGCAGGGCCCCCAGGACGGCAGCCACCCGGCGGCGGCGCCCGAGAAGGTCGGCTGGGTGCGGAAATTCTGCGGAAAGGGGATTTTCAGGGAGATTTGGAAAAACCGCTACGTGGTGCTGAAGGGGGACCAGCTCTACGTCTCCGACAAGGAGGTAGGCGCCTCCCGCCCGCCGCCCGGCCTCCGGGGGTCCCCCGCGCCCCGCACCCCGCTTTGACCCCGCGCGTCTGCGGAGGAAGGTCACCCCTTGGGGGAGACCCGACCCGGAGTTGGAAGTTGAGCGAGCGCGTCGCGGGCGGGTCTCCCCGGCCGCCGCGGCGACCCCCGCCGAGGGGAGCGAAAGTTGCGCGGGTCCCCCCCCCGCCCCCCAGCCCCCGCCCGGCCGCCGCGGGAGGTGGGCGCTCCTCGCGGTCGCTGCCACAACGCGCGGCTCAGCCGCGGCTCCCTCCGGCTGCCTCCCGCTCCGAGCCCCGCGCGCCCCCCTCCCGGCCTCGGCTGGGGCGCAGGGGGGTCCCCCGGCCGCGCGGCCCCAGAGTCACGGAGGCGCCGCGGGCAGAGCCGGGGCCGGTGCTCGCGTCCGCCGGCGCCGCGGCTCACGGAGCGGGAGGGGCGCGTGGCTTCCCCGCTCCCGGCCCGCCCCCGTTTCTGTCAGAGAGGGAAAATGGAGTTCGCACCCCCAGACTGCCCCCGGGAGCCTCGGCTCGGAGCTGAACTGAGGCGCGTCCACACTGGGCCAGAACCTGAGCCCAGACCGTGGGATCCGGACTCGGCCCCCTCGCGGGGTCAGCAGCGGTGCCGGCGCCGAGAACTGCCCCGCGGGCCCCAGGGCGGCCCCCCGGGAGGGCGCCCCACCTGCCCGGCCGCGGCCCCACCGGGCCCAGGGCGGGAAGTCTCCTCCTCCTCTCCTCTTCTGCTTTCTGCCGCAGACGCTCATCCCGGCGGCGTTCGGGTAAATAAATCCTTTTATGGTGCTGACAGCCGCGGAGTGAGCGCCCCAGAACAGTCGCCAGGCGCGGGGCGGGCAGCGCTGAGCTGGGCCCGGGGCGCCCCCTCTTTATGGCGCCTCAGCCTTGCTGTTCACACTGAGCTGGGAGCTGGCCGTGAAGCCTCTGACAGGATGGTTTACTTTTGGGGGTCACCTCTCCCCCACCCCAAGTGCGAAGAAGGTTTTGTCTGCAATTTGCCCGCTTTCCAGTTTGGTTTAGCCTTTCCGGTGAGAGAGAAAAGAAAAGAAGCAGCAAGTGTCACAACGCATCTCCTGCTCCCCAGAACTTCAGCAGGGCAGGAAGTGCTAGTGAGACTCGGGGAGACCTTCCCGCGCGCCAGGGGGGAGACAGGACGGCAGAGCCGGCGCGGGAAGGGCGGGATGGCCGGTGTGCGGCTTTTTCTTGTTCGTGTTTGTCCAGAGAACAGAATCTGGGGGCACGAGCGTCCCCCTGACCTTGTTCGCGGAGGAGGGGTCCAGAACAAGCTGGGGTGACCTCAGCCCGGCCTGTGAGGTGTCCTCTGAGTCAGGAGCGTGTGACTGGCCGTGGGGCCGACTGCCCCCCGCCGGGAGGGCACAGAAGAGGGCGGCCCTGTGCTGCTGCTCCGCTCTGACCACCCTCCATGCTCCCTGGCCTGGGGGCCCGGAGCTGACCCAGGACTCGAGGCCCTCCTCTGCCCACTCCCCGAAAACCGCAGAGCCGGGGCGTCAGCTTGGCCACCACGCAGTGTCGTGATGGGCACTCACAGGTAGCGCCAGCAGGCCCGGCCCTGGCCCTCCCGCCTGCGCTGCTCTTTCCTCAAGCTTCCTCGCAAAGGCAGGGCCTGCTCAGCCTCGTCCCCCGCAGCCCCCCGCAGCAACCCCCCTGCGTGCGTGAGGGTCATCTCCCGTGCCTCGCCGAAGGGCCCCCCCTTCCAGGGCGGGCAGGCCCTCTCGGAACACGGTCAGCCGATGAGCCTCCTGGCGGAGGGAGCCCCGCTCCCGTGTTTTCAGGCAACACGGGGAGTCCTTCTCTGTGGGCCAAGGGCCCGGGAAGGAGGGTTGACTCTGGGAGGAGGCGATTGTCAACGAAACTGGGGGAGTACGATGGGAAAGCAGGGACTGGGGTCTTGGAGGCGCCCGTCCTGCCCAGGCCCCAGACGGACTTTTCCGACCATGGGCCCCACCTGTCCCCTGCCCAGGCTTCACCTCCCTCTCCTCTCCCTGAGCTGCTTATCAGCCCCCCAAGCCAGAGCACCCCTCCCTTCCTCTCCACCCCTTCCCTTCCCTCCTTCCCTCCCCCAAGGAAAGCAGAACAAGCAGCCCTCTTCCCCTGGCTCCGCACACACACCCAGCACTTTCCTTTCCAAGATTTCTGGCCTCTGCTGATAGCCTGGACTCAGGAGGGGGTGAGGAGCAGCGATGCCTCACCCCAAAACCATGCCCCCGGCTTCTGGGAATTGTTTTCGGCCACCCTGGCCAGCCTCTTTCCTGCTTGTCATAATCCTTCACACCCTCTGTCCTTCCCCAGTCCAAAGCCGGGGAGCCCGGAGCAGCCGAGCACCCACAGGATGTCAGGAGCACCCACAGGATGTCAGGAGCACCGCCCCTGAGCTGGCTACAGCTGTGTGGCCCCGTGCGTCCAGCTGCAGCCAGAGGCCAGGCCCTCGCGAGACTAGGCCGGTGGCCACGTCCCCACTGAAACAGTGAGAACCGGGGGGGTGGGCAGTAGCCTCCACACACACAGCTCCCGGTTCAGAGCTTGGCAAGTGGGGAGACCCCCGGGAAATGGCTCCCATCAGGGAAGGTAGGGCTCTTCCAGGGAAGAGGTGCCTCCTGTCACCCTTTGAGTTCTAACAAGACAAGTTCTAGCGATTTTGCTCATCCAGGAAAACGTGACCAGCTCATCTCCAGGGTCTTCCCACCCCACTCAAGGAGCAGAGGGTAAAGGGTTTCCTGAGCAGGCCGCTCCGGCCGGGCCGAGACTGCATCTCCTCTCCCCTGGTGCCAAAGCCATCTGCCGGCCGAGCTTCAGAGGACCAGGCCTGTGGGCGCACCTTGGGGGAGAGGTGGAGACTTGAGAGGCTTACACGGCCCTCGGAAGAAATGTTCATGGGATCCGCTTGCACGCTCAGAGAAGGCAGGCCGGGGCGGAGGATGTGGATAGAATTGTGGTCTCTGATTAGACATTGAGCATGAGAGAAGAGCCAAATGCGGATCAAGCTGCTGAGGGTAGAACCGGGGTTTGAGAGAAATAGTTCAAGCAGGAAGGGCGTAGTTTAGAGACGAACTTCCCAGCGGTGAGAGACTTAGTCTCTCAAGCTGGACTCGTGGAAAGAGATGGCAGATTTTTTTTCCCAAGTTGCAATCTAGTCCTGGGGAGGTTGCTCTCCACGGCCATCCATGGCTGGAGGGGCCTCTCGGGGGTCGTAGTGCCTGGGAGAGCGCCTGGGAGAGCGGAAGGAGGCGTGGGGACCACAGGAGCATTTTGCACCTTGTCAACAAACCCAACAAACTGGACACACCGCTGTGCCCTGGAGCCGCAACTCAGAAGCGGCCGAGCTGGTGATTGGGGCAGCGCGTGTCCCGGGTGGGAGCCAGGCCCGGTAGCCACAGGGGAGGCCGGAGGGGACGTTCATTCCCTCCCCGCACCCCCAGGGGCTGGCCCTGCCTTTATCTCCTTCCACTGCACGATCAGGGGCCGCCTGGGCCTTGCTTACTTCGGGGTGATTGGCTCCCCTTGTCAGCCATGGAAGCTGTGTCCTTTGAAGGCAGAGTCGGGGGTGGTGATGAGAGACACCCTGGGATTCTGGACACGGTGGTGTGTCTGAGGAGAGCGGGGGACCCGCCTGAGGAGTCGGGACGTGGGGCTGCCCCAAGCTGTGCGCCCCCACCCCACCCCCACCGTCACCGCCCCGGTGGCTCCTGGGACAGCCCCGGCCCGTCACACCTCCCCCTCCTCAAGCTTCTGGTTCCCAAGACTGCTCTCCGCTAACAGACTGGAGGCAGGGACGGGGTCATTTTATCTTCACCACCTCCCTGCCAACCTCCCCTAGGTAAAAGATGAGAAAAATATCCAAGAGGTGTTTGACCTGAGTGACTATGAGAAGTGTGAAGAGCTCCGGAAATCCAAGAGCAGGAGCAAGAAAAATCACAGCAAGTTTACTCTGGCCCACTCCAGGCAGCCGGGCAACACGGTACGTCACCCGCCGCCTTCCTTTGGGGCCAGGGGCAGGAGAACTTCTTCCCCCTTCGGATGATCTCAGCTCAGAGTCCTGCGTTGCTCTTCTGCCATTATTATTTAACCTAGAACACTGCGGCCATCTCCTCCCCTCCGGGCCGGCCAGCCTGTAAGGTGTCCACGCACACCCGGTCTCTCGCGGACACAGGCGTGCGCGTTTGTCTCCGGGGAGAAAATTGCTTCTCCTTGTACCACGAGCCGGTTGAAGTTCCGAATCCAATTCCTCTTATCTGAGGGAGCCCGGGAAGCCACTCCTGTCACAGTCTTATTTCTTCAGACATTTCAGGATCTTTGTTTTAGTGCCTGGCCTTCGCCAAGCCTGCTGCGGGCCTCGCCAGTGGCAAGTTACTGGCGCTTCCCTGGCCGCCGCCCCCCCAGGTCGTTCCTGACACAACCCCCGGGCGGTGGCAGTTCACGCCAGCAGGGGCTGATGTCCTGGTGTCAGGCCTGGTCCCAAAACAGAGTCGCTGGGCCCGAGAGGATGAGATGATCATGTCCCCTTTCCCCGCTGGCGAGGCGAGGCGCCCGCTCGCACGCGCTGGCTGAAACAAGCCTCTCGCCACAGGCACCCAACCTCATCTTCCTGGCGGTGAGTCCAGAAGAGAAGGAGTCGTGGATCAGCGCCCTCAACGCTGCCATTACCCGAGCCAAGAACCGCATCTTGGATGAGGTCAGGGGACCGGCCGCGGGGAAGGGCGAGGGGCGCGGGGCGGGGGGCCGCTGGGACGAGGCAGACCCTGTGGAGCTGCCCCCACCGGCTCTGCGTCTCCGTTTCCCTTTTGAAAACCCTGTTCTCCTCCCGCCACCATGTCTCACCTGCCATTTCCTCTTGGCCCTTGGGGTGCTGGCCCTGCCGTGGCTTCCGGCGTGGGGTACGGAGGTCCCTTGCCCCAGGCCTGCCCCCGGGACCCCCGCCTGGGAGGTCGGGACTCTAAGCAGTGCAGGGGGTGGGTCCACTTCCCGGTCCACGCTTGTTGGGGCCTCGGGCGTGCCAGGGCGAGAGTCTCTGACGTGGGCCTGACTCTGCAGGTCACAGTCGAGGAGGACAGCTATCTGGCTCACCCCACGCGGGACAGGGCGAAAATCCAGCACTCCCGCCGCCCCCCAACTCGGGGACACCTGATGGCCGTGGTAGGTAGCCTGTGAGGAGATAGAAATTGGCAGAGTCACCGCCACATCCTCTCCGACGCGGCGGCTCAGCCACCCGCGGCACAGCTGGGAGGCCCCGGGATGCCCACGCCGAGGGCTAGGGGCGCCCTCCACTCTGCCCCCCGCCCGACTCCTCCGGGCCAAGAGTTCCTTGGGCCCTACCGTGAGATCAGAAGGCCCTGCCCTCGATGCATGTATCGTCTTGGGAAATGAGATACACCTCAGGTGAAAAACAGAGGCGGTGATGACCGTCCAGGCAGTGAAGGCGGCAGGTGGGTGACATCGGGGCCTCGGGCTGCCAGGGAGCAAGGCCCGTGAGCGCCAGCACGGAGAGCCGGGCTTGCTGGCCCCGGCGCGAGCTCGAGGCCGGGTGTAGCGGAAGGACGGAGCTGGGGCAGAGCCTGGCTTGGCGATTTGCGTTCTCTGTGGTTCCCTGAAATGTGTCTCAGCTATAAAGTGAGGCCCTTCTCACGTCTACCCTGAGGAGCCGCAGTGAGGAGCGACTGAGACAGCGTATATAAGACACGTCCGTGGTGGTGAACACCCTTTTCGCTGTTTTTTTGTAATGACAGCATTCTGGGAGTAGAAGGACGAGTTTTATCATCAAGCCGGGGCTCTGAGAGCCACAGAGCTGGGCGCTTGCGTGTGCGGGGCCCGGGGCAGAGGTGGAAAGAGGCAGGGGGTGTCAAACCCAACTCGGGGTCCATCATGCTGAGCACAGAGACACCCCAGGAAGCTCAGGCTGGAGGATGTAGGCCCCAGGCAGGAGAAATGACTTGAAATCACAGGAAAATAAAAGAAGTTGCAATCACTATTCAGTCAGAAATCGCCCCTAGAAGCCCAGGCCCGTCGGGAGGGGCCCGGAAGGCCGGGACGCTGCCGGCTTCAGGCTCGAGGGAGCCCGGCTGGCGCCCCTGTGACCCCCCTCGGGCCCGCCCTCTCCTCCCCAGGCTTCGACCTCTACCTCGGACGGGATGCTGACCTTGGACCTGATCCAGGAGGAAGACCCTTCCCCCGAGGAGCCGACCTCCTGTGCCGAGAGCTTCCGGGTGGACCTGGACAAGTCGGCGGCGCAGCTGGCGGGCAGCCGGCGGAGAGCAGACTCGGACCGCGTCCCGCCCCCCTCGGACCGGGCAGGCGGCCTCCCGCGGCCTTGGGAGAAGCCAGACAAGGGGGCCACCTACACCCCCAGGCGCCCAAGAAACTGACCCCCACAGAGAAGGGCCGCTGCGCCTCCCTAGAGGAGATCCTGTCTCCGCGGGACGCCGCCCGCCCCCTGCAAGCGCGGCCGGAGGACCCCCGGGCGCCCGCCCCGGCCCACCCGGCACAGCTGTCCCGGATCCAGGACCTGGTGGCCAGGAAACTGGAGAAGACTCAGGAGCTGCTGGCAGAGGTTCAGGGGCTGGGAGACGGGAAGCGAAAGGCCAAGGACCCCCCTCGCTCTCCCCCCGACTCGCAGTCAGAGCAGCTGCTGCTGGAGACGGAGCGGCTGCTGGGGGAGGCCTCCTCGAACTGGAGCCAGGCCAAGAGGGTGCTGCAGGAGGTCCGGGAGCTGCGGGACCTCTACCGGCAGATGGACCTGCAGACCCCCGACTCCCACCTCAGACAGGCCGCCCAGCACAGTCAGTTTCGGAAGAGCCTGATGTGAGGAAGGGGCCGGGCCTGAACTCGGGGAGGCAGACAGTGTCGCAGGAGGAACCTTTTTTATTTACCTCAGTCAAAAACAAAAAAACAAAAACGTAATCAAACTCGTCGCTCTTGCTGATGCCCCAGCCTGCCACGGCCCTCCCGCCCCCGCCCTCCTTACCCCACCCCTCCCGCCCCTCATCTCTGTGAGACCCCAGCTGCCCCAGGTGAGAGGAGGGGACCCCGGAGCAGTGTTAAGCTTTCACCTGAAAGGGCACAGCCTGACCGTACACCTGCACCCCACCCCCCAGAGCCAGCAGGAGCTGCAAGGCCAGGACAGGCTGCAGGGGGCGGGGGGTGGGGGGGCTTTCTCGTGTCTCATTCCAGGTTTTCAATCTGAGGGTGAAATTTCAGCTGCGCAGCTCTAGGCTATGGACGCCAGCACCCCCATCCGCGCGCAGGGCCGTGAAATGCACCCCGGGCTTGAGGCGTTGCTGTGGGGCTAGAAACTCCAGGCGACTGCTCACGGGGCCTTGCTGGGCTGGCGGAGACTGGGCTGCCCCAAGGTGCCCCCCCAGCTCCCCTTCCCGTCACTGACTCAGAGACACGGCCCCCGAGAGTCGGGGTGGGCTCGGGCGCTGGGCGCAGGGCCTGGCGTGGGGAGCAGCTGACCCCCAGAAGAGTCAACTAAGAATGAAACTTATTTGTGACATAAGCGGGGTCGGGGAAGGGGAAAACCAGGCGTGTGTCCAGGTTCCTCTTTCGGCCAAGCCAGGGCTTCCTGTCCCCTCTGCCTCCGCAGACCTCCCCCTGCACCAGCCAAACCCTGACTTTAGAAAAACATCTTTTTGCCTGGCAGCTGCCTCCCGCCTCCCCAGGCGTGTGCTCTCCCCAGGCGTGGCCGAGATTAGGCTTCCTGACAAGCACGAGGGGAGCTGTGAAGACAAGGATTTGGGAGAGAAGGGAGCAGAGAGAAGACGTGCAGCAAGTCAATGAGGGCTAGAAACTCTCCAGTGGGCACCTGGCAGCTTCTCCATCCCCCTCCAAGGCCTCTCACCTGGGCAGCCAAGAGCGAGAGCCTCACGGGGAGCAGAGAAAGGGGAAACCGAGCACAGACTGCCCGTGGGTCAGGCTGTGAGGCGCCCTGTTGTGGCCTTAGGACGCTGGGGTGGAGAAGGGGAGAAGAGGCCTCTGTCCTGGTGGCAGAGGCAGGCCCAGGGCAGACGGATCAGGAGTCCCGGAGCCCTCGGTGGAGTTTCATAGGCCTTAATGCTCTCTCAGGGAACCAGGCAGGGAGGCAGGCCCAGGCCAGGCAGGTGAGCTGGGAGCCAGGCAGGCAAGGGAGCTTCCTGGACCCCCCCCCCAGAATCTTTGCACCCCTTCTCTGGCTCTCTCTGGCGTTGTCTCGTGGCCTTCCTCAGAGTGGGCCTCCTCGCTGTGCTGCTGCTGCCTTTACCCCCTCCCCGGCACAGGTGTGGGCACTTACACACGTGCACACCCGCGCTCACTGGGCCCAGGTGTCCATAATTACAGGTGCACACGCCCTGTGCTCATGGCCCTCGGCCCTGCCCCCACGCTTGGGTGCTGCCCCCTGCACTCAGCGCCGGGTCATCAGGGTGCACTTGTGAAGCTCCAAGTCTCGCTTAAAATGATATTTTCTTTTTTAAGTCTCCATCTTTGTATTAATTTTACCAGCATTTTCCCTTTCCTCCTTCCTTGTTGTTCCCACATAATGAAAAAGACAAAAAGCAAGAGTGACGTGTGTACCCCAACATGCCAGTTATCCGTGGCTCCCAGGGGAGCTGGAGGATGGAGGGTGATGCCGGAGAGGAGACGGGAGGGGAAGAAGGAAAGAAAGATGAGGGGGCGCTGGGAGGCTAAGAGCTGGACTCTGGGCTCTCGGGGGCCTGGAGCACCGCACTGGGCCCCCACAGTCCAGCTTTGGAACCAGACAGATCTGGTTTCAAGTTCTGACTCTGCCCCTTTGGGGTTACGAGGTCCTGGGCAAGACACGCTTTCCAAGGGCCACCACAGTCGTCTGCAAAGTGCAGGGGGTGTTGGGTAGGAAATGTGGGGCACTCGTGGCCGCTGACCTGCGGTGGCGGCAGCTGCTGCTATTATTAGTGTGACTCTCTGCGAGCAGCGGGCTCAGGCGGGCTCAGGCGGCGGGAGGACAGTTTGCAGGCGGCCTGGGGCGCAGGAGCTGGTCAGGGCTGGGGCTGCCTGAACTTCAAGGAGAGACAGGCCCAGAGCTGTGCCGAGGCCCCGAGAGGTGGGGAGAGAGCGTGGTCCCGTCTCCAGAAACCTCAGCGCTCGGCACACAGCCAGGCTGCCCGCAAACCTGAGGCGGCTGCGCGTGGCTTCTGTTCGGGAAGGCGGGGTGTGAGCCCGGGCGCCGGGACAGGGGGGTGATGTGGTTCCTCGTCTTCCCTCCTCCCGGCTCCTCTTCCCCTCACGCTGACATTCCAAGTTCTTCTCCTGCAGCGCCCTCCCTCCCCGTCATCGGTCACAGCGACCCTGGTAGGTCGGCGGGGGCCTCACTGCCCGGTGGCCTGCAGACAGCTGGGGGGCGGGGAGCAGGCTTCTTCCTCTCCCCCACCGAAGACTCCGCTGTGTTCTCTTGCACACATGGGAAAGGAAGCCGTGACGGGGGGGCGGCGAGGGCAGCCGGGACACAGCTGAAGTGGGTGACATTTTCCTCAACCTTTCCGGCAGTTTGCAATACATTGTGAGGCAGAGGGTTTGGGGGAAACAGAGAAAGCCACAGCCCTGCTCCCCCTCCCGTAGGAAATGTCTGAGGTGTGACTGGAAGGCTGATGAGTTCATTTGCATGCGGGTCCCACCGCCCGGCCTGGGTGGTTTAGGGTGAAGAGGCGGGGAGGGCCCGGGGAGAATCCACAAGTTTCTCCAACTCCTGCTCCAGCCTCACCCACCACACGCAGGTGCTCAGCCTAGCGCCAGGACCCCCGCGCCGCCGTCTCCCAACCCTCCCCAACCTCGTCCTCCCAGGAAGCCAGTCTCCAAAACTCACTCCCCTTCCCGAACCTCCCGGGCAGCGCCTTAGCCCCATGCCGCGACCCTCAGCCCGCCGGCCCCCTCCGGGCCCCCCAGGCCTGGCAGGCCTCATTGCTGCTCTCTTCCCACTCCCCGTCTCTCGACAGCAGCCAATCCCCAGCCCGCTCGGGAGCCACACCATATATGGAGAGGTTGGAAAGAAACCCAAGTAAATGCAGGAGTGAGACACAGACACCCGCACGCGCGCACACGCACGAGTGTGCGCCTCCTGCACGTGACCCTGCGTCTGCGTGTGTGACCGCAGTCCGCGCCCCTGTCCCCGGCTCACCCCGCCCGCAGACCAGGGACCTGTCTGCTGTGCCCCTCGCCTGTGCCCCTGAGACCATCGCGCCACCAGTCGCCTCTGACCCAGATTCTCTGCGCTAATTAGAAGCTAACGAGATCTGAGGAACACCCGGCTAGACCCTCGGGGTCGATTAGTGCAGCCCGGGCGGCTCAGAAAACGGGAGATGGAGCCAGAAACGCCCGTGCCTCACCCAAACCCAACCCAACCCACCCAGGGCTGGGAGGCCGGCAGGGCGAGGATGCAAAATGAGGGCCAGCTTTAAAGCAGCCCCCGGGGAGGTCCCGAGTGTGGGCGCACTGCTTTCAGGTGGGAGAGCCGCTGGCCAGCACGGGCTCCCAGGCCCCCGCGGGTGTCAGGGCAGAGGGGCGCGCAGCCGGGAGCACGGAGCACCCCGCGGGCCTCCTCTTACAAAGGCGGGTCGCGGGAGAGCCACTCAGAGTCGTGGGTCGGAACTCGGATCTTCATCACCGGCTCCAGCGGCTCCACCTCCTCCTCGTGGCTTCCTGGTTCTCCCCCGTCACCCCTGCTGGCTCTGGACAGAGCTCCATCTCCTTCTTGCTTTCCGGCTTCCAGATATTAAAGCCATAAAAGCAAACAGCCCCTCCGCCCCAGAAGCAGAAGCGTGGACCTCAGGGAGAGCAGCCAGCCTGGGCCGCTGCCTAAACCATCACCTTCTAGATGACGCGTGGGAGGAAAGGGCCAGGAGTGGCAGCTGTGGAGTGGGGCTGGCAGGGGCCCTGCCCAGCACTGGGAGCCAGACCGCGCCGCCGAGCCCGCGCTGTGCTTCTGTCCCGGGCCTGCGCTCGCAGCTGCCATCCTGCCGTCCTGGCCAGGGGAGGCCAGAGGGGAAGGCCAGTCCAGGCGGGGACAGGCTGTCCGCTCTGCTGCAGCGGAGGCCCGCGCCGGGCCAGCACCTTGTCCGCAGACTGATGCCGGGACCTGGGACCTGAGGGCAGGCGGCTCACGTGCGCACCATGTCTGTATGTGGATGATTCCAGAATGCACTGCTCTGGCCTGAACCCCGCTCTGGGGTCAAAGCATTTAGACTCGAGTGCCTCTTTGGCATGGCTGCTTGGCTGAGTAACAGGCATCTTACGCCAACTCTGTGACAGATCTTTAAATAATGGTTCTCGCTGGCCCCGCCTCCTTCCCACTCAGGAGCCATTGCTGTTTGGACCTGGCTGTGCCTGTGACTCGCTTTGACCAGCAGAACTCGCTGCCGTGTAAGTTCCAGAGGTCCTGAGGCGTTCTCACTGGCCCTCTTCAAATGCAGCGGCTCGTAGAATCCTGGGCTGGCCCCCTTGAGAACGTGAGCCACATGGGGAAAGAGTTCCCGAAACCACCCAGAACCACCCCAACATCCAGGCCCCGGCAAGCAAGGTGGATGCTGCCCATCAGGTGAGACTGGAGCACCAGCCGCCAGGAACACAGAAATGTGAGAAATGAGCAGGTCGCTGTTGTTTTAAGCCACAAAGCTTTGAGGTGGTTTGTTAGCAGTAGAGGCTGACATTAAAATCGCACGTTTTAGAAGCGGGATGCAGCCGTAATTCACACCAAAATCTGTGGCATCGGCATCGGGCCCTGTTAGGGCTTGGACAGGCAGCAAGGAGGCCCTTGCGGAGGAAGGCGAGCAGGTGAAAGGGGCCGCCTGTGTTCCGGGGTGGTGGAGGAATTCTCGAAGCTGTCCCCTATGGTACTTGGAAGGTAGGAAGTGTCCCCAGTGGCCTGGGAGGTGGTGGCTGAGATTTCCAGGGAGACTGT